TGTGTGGATGACTGGATATGTAAAGCGCTTTGGGGTCCTTAGGGACTAGTAAAGCGCTATATAAATACAGGCCATTTACCATTTGTTTTAATGGGATTTGAGAATGTGGAAAATGACGTCATATATCCACTTAATACTCTTAATGTAGTGTCTATGAACCAAAACACAAAACCGTACAGAGAAAATGGATTAATACCAGCTTACTGGAATACAATATATTCTGAACCTAGAGTACACAGGTTGTTCATTATTTTGAATTTGTCCTCAAGATAAACTTTACACAACATCACTGCAGGGACCAGAGTTAGGCATAAAGCAAAAGTGCTGCTGAGCTGACGGTCCAAGAGGACTAAAATAAAGCTGGCAAAATGACTGAGCTATCATATAACCATGTTTGTGATAGACTGTTGTAACGTGCAGTGGAACTACAACGTGCCACAGCACTGTGTCAGCACTTCCTGCAATTTATACGGCTAAACAGACCACCGTTTGCGTTTGTTTTCTTGGTAAGTGGACGTTTAGTGGTTTTGCCTGTGCCCTGACCTCAAGCATGTGTGCCATGAGGTTCCACGGTGCAGCCACCAGGGTGTGCTAGCTAACCGTCTGTGGAGATTTGAATGCCAGCTAAGTCCAAGAAAACTGGATCCTCAGTTCAGCTTTCCGACCCAGTGGCTGTGCACACAGAGCCTCGGCAACGCATGTGGGGGGAAAAATGTAAGTGAATGTGGTATTTGGCATAATTAACACTAAGTTTGTATTCGAAAGGCAGTCAAATACATAATCAAAGTAGTGACATGCCTCCACACAAAACAAATGACCATCTGAGACCAACACATGTATGTGCTACTGACAAAAATAACCGATTTACACTATATTAGAATATCTGTCTTCCACATTTTTTCAGTGAATTTGTCGTGAAGTGTAGCCAGAGGTCTCCAACACAAAAACATCCATTTGCCTCTGAGAGAAATCCACTGTTAGTTAGCCACTCACTGTAAAAATGCTACAAAGACGTCCTGTATATTTCAGTGTACTGTGTGACAGACACACCCTTGTTTCTTGACCAGGAAATGCTCCAGTGACTGAAGCAGAATATGAGGGGCCATGTTTTGGGATGAGGGGATTCCCTATGAACAGCGGTAAAGCCCCATTAGTGTGGGGCCCATTGCACTCTAGGAAGAGATTGAGGTGCTAGATTTTCAGCAGACACAAAAACCACACAGCAGATCACACTGCTAATCTTTTATTAGAGATCATGCATAAGTCAAACAACACAAAGAGAAATGAGGCAACTGAGGAAAATTAGCAGTCGTACAGCGCAGCCTCCATTATCGGCATTGCTTTTTGTATATTCCAGTGACTAAGAAACACGTTGTTCTTCTGCAAAGCAGGTCTGAGATGACTCTCTGGCAACGTTATCAGTACGCTGGGGTTCAGTTACAAATCACTGACAGAGCTCACACTGAAAAAAACCAAACAGGAGAATAACATGTATTCATTGAGCTCACATTTGGAGCTTTCTTAGTTTAATTAAAAGAAAATTTAAAAAAAATTAACTGTGATTAAAATGTTTCAGCGTCACACAACAGACACATAACACTAAAACAAGGAGACATAAAGGAGGGAGAAAGGAAGCTTCCCTTTCAAAATGTGCAATGATGATGCTTTGTTCAAAGTGTCCAAACTAAGTTACTTTGTGTCAGTTCCCCCCCCCCCACGTGCTGGTCAATACATAAAATCTATTCAATATGTATCCTTCATGAAACAAAATGAGACAAGTAGTGTAATTCTTTAACGGCTACAGACCAGTGATGAAACACCTCCATGTGTTTACCATCCTCCACTTCCAGCCGCCGAGGATATCCACATACCCAATCATGACAAATTAAATACACAAGCCAGCAACAACGTATAAAACAAACCAAGAAAAAAAAAATACTTAACTACATAAACAGAAGCCAGAAACACTAAAACATACACAATTTCCCATCTCATCCCTTAACACAGCTCATTTCCCGTTTAAAATTTTCACAATAAAGTGATTTAAAATACTGATCTTTAAAAAAAAAAAAAAAAAAAAAAACACAAAGGAAAAGAAGTAGTGCTGAATAAATTATTCATATGCTCATTAATTAAATTAGGCTAAGATTCAGCTGATTTACAGTACGAGTTGAAACGCGGCCATCAAAGTGCACACTTGTTACGATTGTGTAAAATGTTGCATTTGTTATTGTCGAAAGCAAAAAGTCTAATTTGTAGCCTGACGTCTGCAGCGAGCTCATTTCTGAAAAAACAAATCACGCTTGAAAGGTCAGGCCTTTAAAGATGGCAGCGTTAAGAAATAAAAAGGAGAAATGCACAAAAATAATGTGCAAACTGCTTCTGTTTTTATTCTTTAGGACATCTGTGAATTTAGAAAAAAGAAAAAACCCTCGATTTTAAAAATTAATGAAACACAAGAACACAATTATTAGGACATTCTTCCGTCCACATCCCAAATGAGATCACAAACTTGGTCCTCTAAGCTCCAACTTATTAAAATTAAAACGCATACAGCACAATCTTCCCTCAAAACGCAGTTAAAACCTACAGCGAGTAAAAACTCCTGAACGACAGCAAACGTCTCTTCAGCTCCGAGCGTGCACCTTAAACAGCACTCATCAGAAAACCACTCCCCATCCACAACTCCATGACACTACCTTAAGAATCCATCAAAATTAAACTTTAGTTTACAAAACTATAGCAGCTTTCAGGCTAATGAATCTCAGCAAAATAATCTCAATAAATCTGTTGTGACCAGCAAATCACCGAAAAACTGCACGTACGTCTGTCACGGGGAATGAGAAGGCAAGGTAAGACTACACGTATCTGGGTAAGGTGCGCCACGACGCCAATCCACAAAAAACGACATCCCTTCTTAACCCTCGTCTCTTTTAGCTTTTGTAAATAATCACATGTGTACAATTTTTGTCCCTTCTCTTGAAAAAGCTCAGCCCAATGAGGTACATCCCTACTGTCAAAGCAAGGGCAACATATATCCTTTTTCAAAAAACAAACAAAAAAACTACATTAAATTACCATCTCTTACATACTTGTGTAAGCTAAAATATACACACAACTAATAAACCCGACATTTGTCATTTACAGATATACAATTCAACTTAAGACAGACTTGCAAAGGGACCGATACAAACACCAAAACCAGAGCCTCGTAGGTATGATCAGTGCTTCTGCAATTAAGGGGGATAAGTCTGCAACAACATCCATAATGTTTCTGCAGCGGTTTCTTTAACAGTACAAACTTTGTCTTGAGTTGAGGGACTGGATAGGAAACGAATTCCTACTTATGACAAGGATTCTTTTTTTGCCCCCTTTTTTTTTTTATACAAATCTACATCTGCAGTCCACACCAGGCTGAAGGAGATGATTTACACCAAAGAGGGCTGGGGGGGGACCTGCTGCCTCACCGTCTCTAACACTGCTCATCGAGTGGGATCCATCTCATTTTGGCGTATGAAAATAGGATTTTTTCTTTTCCCTTTGCGTGAGAAATTAACGGAGAGCCTTAACATAATTCTACTGATTTCATGTGCAATTTCCTGTAGTGTGGGTCGAGTAGCGCTGCGATCAATCGTTAGCAGAGGTGAGTGTGATTCAGTGTCAGGTCGGTCTCTCCTAAGGTGAAGCTGCATAGCTGGTCGGGTCTAAGGCTGGAGGGGAAATCGGAGGTCAAAGCTGGGAGGTCTACGCGGCAAACAAAGTGTCCTCAGGTCTTTCTGGCTTTTTGCGGCTAGGGGTTCCTTGCACTGCTCCTGGGTTACCACTCGGGGGCGACGGTAGGCTGGGGACCCTCTCAACAGCTTTGGCTCTCTCCTCAAGGAACTTGTCAAATTCTGGGGGCAGAGACAAAATTTTTATTTTTATTTTTTAAATAAAATGTGTTCAAAATACAGCTGGGGGAGCTGGAAGTGTTAGAAGAGAAGAATCAGTGTCGTACCTTCACTTGTGACGCCTTCCTCACCTTCATCTCCCTTCTGTTGAAAAAGGAAAACCCACCATGTCACGCTGTGACAAACATTACCCACTGCAAACCAAAAGCCAAATTATGACCCCTTGACCAATAATCTGATTCAAACCACATTAAGAAACAAACAAAACACAAAACCCCAAAACTGACTTACCCGTCAAATTTCACTCATAACAAGAGCCACTTACCCATCATTAGCACGGACCAAAGGTTGTGACGGTAATATTAGAAGTTCTAATACACTCTCATTGCTCCCCAACCAAAACACTCGGCACACAATCTGATAAATTTGTGCAACATAAGCACAAATTTGCACAAAATAAGCACTAAAGTTTTGGAATGCATTATTACTCATTCTGGGTCACAAACACTCGCCCAGATTAGATAAATAAATAATATCGCTCTATAACAGCTCTGGCAGTTAAGATGTTTTGGCTAAAGCAGACCTATTCTGATGGATTATATGTTAACCTCATGATTTAAAAAACTTTTGCTATGCTGTATATGACAAACAGGTCATCCTTGGAGCCAAATGCTCACGCTTCAGATTGCACTATAACAAATTCAGTTTTCCTCATATAGTCGTCTGAAGCAAAGAAAAAGCTTTGAGCTCAGCACCCTCCAAACACCTGATGGGCCTGACAAACGTTTTCAACCGGCTAGACTCAAAGATTGGGCAACGATGAGGAAACAAAACCACAAACTTTAAATAATATTTGAATTGGGCATATACAACGTAGCTTAAATCACTGTTCAGGCAGTTAAACAGTATTGTTAGTGTGGCTATTTTAGCTTTCAAAACAGTTTGAGCTTATATCTAAGCAGCCTTTTATGTCACTAATGGACCTTCAGTAAGGTGGAAAAGGCTCTGGGTTGACTGCAGTATGTTTATTACAGCATGACTTTTGCTTTAAAGATGAAAAACTGTTTTTGTATCAGGTTTTTTTTTTTTCTGAACTGCCACACTGCCAGGTGATGGGCTCTCAGGGACAGTAGATGAACTAAGGAGATATCTGTAAGCCAGTCCAAGCTACCGGTAAATAAGGATTTTGTGACTGTAACTAATGCAAAGCTACTTAAGTGTAGTAACAATGCTGAAGAAAAGAAAATGCATAATAGGTCCACTTTAGCTCAAAATAAACAAAATGTTGCATACATTATTTGCATTCAAGACCTCATGCTATTTTGCCACAGTCTCCCATAATTATATCAGTCGCCCCTCACACAACACTGTTAGTAAAATTTCAGTGAACTAAATTAAAATGTGATTGATCAGTCAGGAAAACACCATCGAGTAAATGTGTTAATTTCAGGCTTCAAAAGCCAGTATGAAATTTTTAAAAAGGGATACGACAGAGTGAAAAAAGTAAAGAAGCAAGCATAAATGAACCAAAAAAAAAAAATCATGATGGGCTCACCACGTCAGTACTCAGCCACTCCTCTATGTCATCCATGACAGAGGACTGGCCTCCGACAACCTATGGGGGCAGCATCGAGACCGCCACAGGTGGCCAGAACAAAAACAGAAATGAAATCCCGCCCCAAACACAACAGAAAATGACTTAAGTAAACGTCAGTGGTAACTCAAATGCAGCTTAATACAGTTGTGAGAAAAACAAATGCATAAACCGAAATCAGTGTTTGTGATAAAGCTATGAGTGCGCAAGTCATACAAAAACAAATCTAAGTGCAGGTTAAGCTGGGAAGACAGAGCCATGCTGGTGAAAATGAATAAAGCAAGCCGCGGTGCAGAGACACCATGGCCAAAAAAAAAAACCCCCATCATAAAATAAATAACGAAATAATAATAATAAAATCAAACTGGAAGATCTATAGCATAGCTATTAATACAGCTAGCATAGCATTTCCTTCCTTTTTCTCAGAAGATGACAAAGCTGAAAACAACTTACAACTCTAGTTAGTACTGCATGAAAGACAAGATCCATCTCCCTACGCACGGCTTAAAAAATTATTGATTTTATCAAAGAAATTAAGAAGACGATGCACAGCTCCAGTGTTCAAACCCTCTCTGTTAAGCTGTAAGATGTAAATAAACAAAGAAACTATATTTCTCAATTTATTTATTTTTTTTAATCAAGGGATTAGTCGCATCTAGCAGCAACAGTGCAAGGATGAAAAAGCATGTCAGGGTCAGAAAGCGCACAAACACAAATATTCAGTATCAAAATTCTCCGACAGACTATGACAACACCGACTTTGAATTAAGACCCAAATTGTCACTGAGACTCACCCCCCCAGCAGCTGTCTGTAGAACATCCAGAGTGGGAGGAAGGCCTTCAGCGGCCTGGGTGTTTTCTGATGCAGTACTGAGACAAAACACATACAAGCAAATGTTATTTGCCCACGTTTAACAGAAATAAAAAGGAAGTAGGTTAAATGCCAAACTAAATTTGCCACTCCTCATTGGATTCTTACACCTTCTGTGGCTCTGACATGGTTCCGGTTCTGGTTTGAGCAAACACATCAAAGTCATCCTGGGCAGGTGGAGGCTTACAGCTGGACAGGGAGCTCAGAGTACTGCTCACACTGTCTGCTCCCATGTCTGGAAGAGACAAAACAAACAAACCACCTTAACATCAAGCTAACAAACTGCACAGAAGAGAATCAGACTTTACAAAAATAAAAGTCAAGAGAAAAAGGTCGTTTCTACTGAGATTCATTTTAAGAACAGTTTGGATCCAAACAATCGAGAACTAAAGTTATCTGTTGATTTATTTTTGACAGTCTTGCATCAAACTAACTGTCTGTTCTGTGTGTGCATGTACCATTGCATCAGACCACACAGATCCCTTTGTGCTATGGGAGAAATTAAGCTTTAGCTTGTATACACAGTAAAAGCTGCAGAAGATATAAAAGGAGAAAGTTGCCTCTGTTTCGAGGCAGATAGGAGAGCAGAGTGTGTATACTCAGCAGTGATGCCTTCAGTGACACCCACATGACTGAGTGGTGGCACTGACAGCAGCAGGTACAGGAAAACAACTGACGGTGAACAAGAGTTATATGGTACATTAGTGATAACTCGAATTTTGTGAGTTACTGAATTTCACTTAACGGCTCCATATTATAGTGGTTTACACAATGGGCTTTTCCTTGAATTACACTGTTAACATTGTAGTGAGCTGCAAGACTTTCCAGAGAGAGATTACTGAGACAGCTTGAAGTTCTCTGCACACTCAATGAAGGGGAGCGGCACTCTCTGCACACCTACCTGAAGGAACCCTGGGTATGGTACCCACTGCACCCACAGTGTCACAACTTCACTAGGCTAACGTGAATTTAAATAAAGCACAACATGAGAAAAATAACTATATGGTAAATGGCCTGTATTTGTATAGCACTTTACACTACATTCAGTCATTCACACAAAGCTACACTGTAGCCACAGCTGCTCTGGGGCGCACTGACAGAGGCGAGGCTGCCGGACACTGGCGCCACCGGGCCCTCTGACCACCACCAGTAAGCAACGGGTGAAGTGTCTTGCCCAAGGACACAACGACGGAGACTGTCCGAGCCGGGGCTCGAAACGGCAACCTTCCCCCCCCCTCCCCCCATACTTCAAGCTTTAGATGCTGAACCACCTACCAATCACTAACTTGGAAATTAAGTTTCTGAGTTTTGCTCCAATCCAAGCCCATATGACTACCTGACATGAATTCAGCAATATGTTCTGAACAGGTTTGTATTTAAATATACAGTGTAATGCTGTAGCTAAAAATGTAACTATTGACTGTTTCGAGGAATTTAGTGCATACCGAGACCAGCCAATCGGGAGGCCAGAGTAGCTGGGGAGGAGGGCCTTCCTGCAGGGGCTGTGACAGTGGGAGGCAAGCTGGTTGGGGCTGCATTTGGCATATTGCTCACCACAGCAGGGGAGCCTGGGCCGAGATCTATCAGGTTGTCTTCTGTAGCCTCACTGAGGACCTGGATGAAGGAGAAATGATGAAACAGTTTCAGGTAAAAATCAAAGGATTTATGATTTTTCGTATATGAGGAGCAAAATAATTTTTTGGGGGGGGGAGGCTATTAAAGGCAGGGTTATTCAGTACTTAGCTTTTTAGTTTAACAGAACAAATGTGGAGAAAAAAAAAAAAACGAAAGTGTTTAGCTTCAGGAGAGCATGAAAATGTCTGTGACTCGGGGCAGCAGCAAATCAACTCAATTTCTGCAAAACAGTTTCTTAAGGGGGTAAAACAATACAGTTTTATTCTAGAGAAATAGTTATGCTTCAATTCCACTTCATATAGGACAAATGCCAATCAGGCCATTTATCATGAACGTGATGAAAACAACCCCCTTAAGAAGGCAGAAATACAGCGGGCAGGGAGGAGGGTAGACTGAATCTTTGGGCTCTGTGAAACTTTCTCTGTTAAGACCAATTTGCAGATCTCAAACCCTGATGGTCTGAGATGACGGAAAGCCAACATGACAGTGACATACATTCATTTAGGTGCCATCTTAAGCTCATGTCGCTGTCAGCCTGCCTCCAGGTTTCACATATCATTGGCTGCAGACTGAAAACATACCATATGGTTAAAAAGGTACCGCTGAATGCTGGCCCCATGTTCTTTAGTCATGTATTGAATGTCACAGTTGGGTGACTGATCATTTAAAGGGGGGAGGTGACAATATTTTCATACTTGCCTGTTTCAGCTAGCCAAAGTAACAGAAGAACAGAAAAGAACAGAAAAGGAAGACACAGTGAATAACATTAACATGCCCGTGTATGGACAGACTGTAAAGGCATGATAGCTGTGGGAGATATATCATGCCTAAACGATCTGAAACCCACTAAGGTGGTGATACTTCTCCAACAGAAGATTCCCCCTTTTTTAAGCACAAAATATTACGTTATCAGATCTGTCAGTTAGTCACTGTAGTAGGATTTGCGTGGAAGTTAGAGGGTGTAATAAAGGTTTGGGATAAATCAGGATCCAGGAAATTCAAAAGGACTTTTTAACAACTTGATATTTCAAGTCACATCATGTGAAATTCTCCAGAAAACATAAACAAATCCAAATTCAATTATTTCTTCTATGCAGGAAATTTCCAGCTTTGGCAGCGGTTTACAGCCTCACACTGCTCTCATTTTGAATCCCATTGATTATAATTAATGAAAAATAAACTATTATTCTGTTTCACAATAGTGTTCTAACTCACTGTGCCCCAAAAATGCACCTTTACAACTGTTTGTGTCCCTCCTTAAAAGCCTAAACTCGCTCTGTTTAATTCAGTTCATTTATAACGTCTATTAATTCACTTTGATATATTTTTAATGTTTTAACTGAACAAATCGATGATGTTTCTAAACGTAATGTGCAATCGTGTCAATACTTGCCCAACCCTACATTCTACTATAAGCAGGTCCAGTCATGTGATCGATGGCATATTAAGTTAAGGAAGCAGCAGAAAATAAATTTGCTATTTAAACAGGTTTGGTTTGTTTTGGGGTTTTTTACTGATAGGTTTGAAACGCAGCAAGGCAGTAATTTATAGACACATGCAAGCTTTAAATAAACAACACACTGCTGTTAGAAATTGTTCTGGAACATACTGCTTTGCAAGATGCAAAGCAGTATGTTCCAGAACAAAGCAATGACTGGGCTGCTTGTTTTATTGTAATGTGCAATGAATAAAATACAAGCAGCCCAGCTCCAGCGCAACAGCAATTAAATTTGCATTCTCTGCTGTATAATCATGGTCTTTGTTTCACTTACTCCGCAGAACTTAAATACAGCAGGTCTGCTTGAACTATAGTGTAGAAATGCAATCTGACACTCGAATGAGAACAGAAAATCTAAACTAAATATAAAAAGTCTTCAAAGATGTCTCTATATTTTACTGTGAAACCAACTGCATGTGTCTTTGTTGGGTTTCCATTTAATTAGGCATGTACATCTGGTAAACAGCTGACAGGTTTTGACATATAAAGACGGCACAGGAAAGCCTGACTGATAATGTTAACATGCACATCCACACTGCAGACACTGAAAGGTGTGGATGTCCAAGAATCCACAAAATAAACAGTGCAAATTAGCTCAAAACATTCGGAGAGGAAATCCAGGAATTTTAAGTGTGATGCGATCGCACTATGAGCTGACTCACCCCATTGTTTACACCCTGAGCTGAGGACCTTCCAGACCTGAACCTCTCATACCTAAAAGCAACAAAGAGATAGCATGAAAGGAAGGAACAAAACACCTGTAGTTTACCAAACTCAATTTGTGCTGAGAGGGTAAAAACAAGTTTGGCTACGTGCACGTTCTTGCACCCAAAGACAAGTTTACACCTGCATTTGCGCAACATGTTTGCCTGCGTTTTCTAACCTTTCATAGCGGAGGAAAATGTTGTTGAGGTCGTCATTGACATGCAGCAGCTCCTCCGTTACTGCCTCATTAGAAACACAGGAGATGAGCTCCACTATTCTCTGCTGCATAGCTCTACAAGTCCTGTTGAGCTCCTACACAAAACAAATGTACACAATACAAATGCTTACGGATGCAAACGGATCCCAGTCTGCTTTTGAGTCACATTTGTACATGCCGGCCTAAAAAAAATTTCATAAATAAAGTTTTTACATTTGTTAATTTACAGATACATTTTTATTTGTGTGTTATGTGAGTAAGTGGTGTCTTGCCTGTAGCAACTCGTAGTCTGAAGCATCCTCCTGTCCTGGCACCATTTCTGTCAGCATCTCTGACATCACTTTAGTGTTTCCACGAACAATGTCCAACTCACTGCGTAGCCGGGAAATCTACATGATAACAGTGCAAGTTCGTCTAAATGCTAGCACTTGGAAACTGGGTGATTTAAAAAAACAAAACAAAAAACTAAAAAAGTAAAGCATAAATTACCTTAAGTAAAAGTCAATTTTATATTATTTCCATACATTTTAATTTAAAACACAAGTATTACTGTGGTAGCGAGGAAAACTACCAGAGAATGATAACTGCGAAAGTATAAAGGTGTGTCCCCTTCAAGATCATCTCTTTGTGCACATTTGGACTGCTTTCTGCACTCTGCTTCCACTGTTCACTCTTGGGCTTTGAAAGCAAACACCAACCTCTGTTTCAAGAGTGAGTGGTTTTCATTTGAAGGGCAGCACACGTGCTTGTTTTTCTGACATTCATTAGATTGTAAACTGGGAATTCCTTGCATAGTAACCTTCAGCTGAAACAGGCTGAACAGCAATGATGGTGAATGTGCTTTCAAGTTGGGTGGGGGGGACCTTTGGATACACACATACTCATGACTCATCACTCACCAGATATACCTCCATGTGATTGACAATCAAGTTTAAGGATGACCACTGCGACACAGTGGAGGAGCCCAGCAGAGGCTTAAAGTCAAAGGGACACAAAAGGACTTCTAGGAAGTAATCTATATTTATCACCTGCACTGAAACCAGTCCAGAGGTGCATAAGAAGATGACCTTGAAAACTGGAGGTAGGGCAATTCAAAATTACAGAAAGATAGTTAATTGGGCAGATTCTTGGAATCTTCATGGCGTACACTTGAGAGCGGATATTAAAAGGAAAACCGTAGAATATCGTTGTTTTGTAGGACGGTTGTAGAAAATGTGGTCATAGGATTACCACTGTACCTGTTCAGGTGTGGGATTAACGGCTCCGGAGGCATGAATGTTGGGGACTTGAGGGGTGGTGTAGACTGGTGGCACAGAGTGTTGTGTGGGCTGAGTAGTGCTGCTGTGCTTGTGTAAGGTAGAGTCACCCTCCGGAGCAGTGGCTGACTAGAAACAACAGAGAAGGTGATAACAAACATATCATTAGGCAACATGTTACCTGGGAACGTAATCACACCAAATAGTTCTGGCAAAGAAACTTTAGCAAACTAGGCTGCCAAGCATGAGCTCTCCTACACGCTGAGGTGTATGTATAGGTGACAGCGTCTCCAGCTCTGACGTTGGGAACTCGATGCCTTTTCTCTTTAGCTCCTCGTAGATTTGAACCACACCCGTGAGGTCAGGACTGCTCCTGAATGCATCGGCCCACGCCTGGATAAAGATAACAGAGAGTAAAAAGAGTTAAAAGAAAAGAGAAATGAGCGTGACCGACTGAAAAAAAGAAATTTAAACAATGGATAAAAGGGAAGGCTGAAAAGGCAAACAAAGCAAATGATGCGCAGACAGTAAAAGGAGTCTGTTCTCTGATGATATTTGTTTGTCTTCCCTGAATCCATTCAGCGAACAAACTATAAAGCGTTTGGCTTCGCTCTTACCAGAGGGTAAATTGGGCTCGAGCCATTACAACAGCTTAAATACAAGACAACACAACAGCCCGAAAGAAATGCAGGTTACCAAAATAATCATAGAGCTTTTGACTTTAAACTTGTAAAAGCTATGAAATGTCCACACTTGCCAACTTTTATCAACTCCAAAGTGCACACATTCATCCCTGAGAGATGAAACAGGTGGTTAGGGAGCTGCACCAGCATAACCACAGTCTGCTGCCCAGCTGGGGTTTACCTCTCTTACTAATGAAAATGTCAACAACACTCCAGCTGCTGCATGAAGGGAGTGTTACGCTATAAATGTTTCCCATGCACTTTTCCCAGTTGACCTTCAAGTCATAAACTGGTTTCTCTGACTACTAAATAAACAAAAAAAAGAGAAATCATCAAGCTTCTCTCTCACAACTACTGTATGCTCGTGCTCCTCCTCCATGCTGTAAGCTGTGGTCATACAGCATCCCTGATGGAAATAACAGCAACACACACAAACCTTGCTGGGTTATCTGAGCTCTGACAGGTAACTAGAGCTGCTACTGGCTGAAGCCCTGGAGACAGTGTGCCTTACCTGAGACTGTGCCTGGGGATGAAAGACCACCTGGGCAGCCACCACAGTCGCAACAAAATCCACAAACCGACTGAGTCACAAATGATTAGGTCTCTCACAGTGACGTACATTGTTGCAGAAGCAAATATATTAAGGATGCGTGGTTTGTGAAATCTTGGGCCCTTATGATACAGATGTTTTAAATAATAATTTGATGCTCATTTAGTTTTCTTTAAGGGTTTCTACCACATAGCGTCTACATATATAACACAGCTGAGGTGAATCTCAATATTTGTTGGGAATTTACTAGGTCTTCTTATTAAAATGCAATATTTAAACAAGGTTAAACATAATTTGGTCCTCCCCCATATATACACATGCTACTTTCCCTTTGTGCAGAGCTCCACATACACTGTGCACTCTCTCTGGAAGTTATATATTGTCATAAAAACAGGGGGAAAAAAACAAATACACGAGAATGCAAACTTTGTGCATTCAGTTCTGCCGTTCTTACCTGAATCAGAGCGAGTACTTTATCTTGAACAATGGTAGGTGGGTTGTTCTTGGGAGAGATAATTTTAACAAGCACGCCATCAACAAAGTCTCTGCTAGTCACTAAAGCGTGGAAACGATGGCCACAGTTCTTCACGCACGTCTCCAGAACCTGACAGATGCACAGACGCCATCATTGAAATAGCTCCTCTTACAGAGAGGTTCAGAAGTTTTGGAGCCAAGATACAAAATGGACATAATGTGTTGGACTAAAAACTGCAAACGCAAATTATGTTATGCAATCAACTTAGTACTGATAAATGCAATCATAATACTTTTATTTATGTTACCAATAAATGCCAAAACAAAGCACCTTTGACCAATTTATTTGACTGTTATATAAGGAAAACTGATATTAACGTTATATGCTAATATATTATATAAAAAGCATACATTAGCTGCTCTCCTCCTGCTCATGTGAACTTACCGTTAAAGCCAGCATTACTTCCCTATAGTTCCGATTGCCATTTAGCCTTTTCTTCATTGCTCTAATGGCATCCTTTGGCCTGCATACACACATACAGACACAAGTCAAAACCCACATTAAACACACAAAAATACCACATTACAGCATGCCTATAGATCGCCATTGGGCGATCGTGGCTCAAGAGTTGGGAGTTCGCCTTGTAATCGGAAGGTTGCCGGTTCGATCCCCGGCTTGGACAGTCTCGGTCTTTGTGTCCTTGGGCAAGACACTTCACCCATTGCCTACTGGTGGTGGTCAGAGGGCCCGGTGGCGCCAGTGTCCGGCAGCCTCGCCTCTGTCAGTGCGCCCCAGGGTGGCTGTGGCTACACTGTAGCTTGCCATCACCAGTGTGTGAATGTGTGTGTGAATGGGTGGATGACGGTTGTGTAAAGCGCTTTGGGGTCCTTAGGGACTAGAAAAGCACTATATAAATACAGGCCATTTACCATTTACCATGCCTGCCTGGTGTGCTTTTAAATGGACTACGAAAACATGTCCCACAGGGAAGGACACATGATTTCTAATAAGCTGATAAATTAAAGCTTTAGCTGCCATTTTCAGTGGCACTGACAAGATGTCAGATACTGTGACAAACATTAGAAAGTTGAATATCAGAAGCATGAGCCAATAATTCTTTGATGCTGTAGCTGTTCTACTCTAAGAAGTAAATTATTAACTTTGTCTCTACTTCCAACAGAGCAAACACGCCTTGCATAAGTGGATGTGTTACACCCATTGCATTCCTCATAGACAAAAGACAAACAGACTTCTTATTACAGTACACTTCTGTAGGTTAGAGCCACCTAATCTTAACTGCAATCCACTGATCAAACGTGGACTTCACACACCAGTTGCACACGTTCTGTAAAAGGTTAATGAAGCACAGAGATAAGAAGTGAGGCCTCGCATAAATCTTCCTCATGCAGCCAGGGCTAGACTGGCTCACTTATGATTCGATGGTAGAGAAAAGGGGAAAAGATGAAGTACTTGATCGTGTTTGCAGCACTCCACAATGTAAAAATCACAGGCCGGTAAAACGGTAAAACCAAATCAGTGCACAGTTTAAACAGAATTTAATCAACACCTATGTGGTTATTCATTGATTTTCACAAGGTACTCACCCATCCTCTGTTTCATTGATGATGTCACATATTTCCATGTTGAGAGTCCAGTCTTCACTTTGTAGGGATCCATCAGTGGCTCTCTCTAAAACACACATGTACTTACATAAGGAAATCATCTTAATAACGTCTTAAAAACTGCGCCCCGAATATATGACGATGGCTGTTGGCTAGCTGTTAGCAAACTTAGCTGCTTGTCATTATTACAGATGCACACGTAAACGGCTTGTGCGACACAGGTAATGGCGTAATGGCACAAAGCACACATTAAATTTGTTAACGAGAGAGCTTACACAGTGACAGCAAATGTTGTAATAGTTAGCTAGGCGGCTAACGGTGGCTTTCCAGCTGTAGAGAACTCATTCAGGGACATTAGCATGCTAAAGGTAGCAAACCCGTAAATGACTATTACATAAAATAGACACCTCTCTAAGATATACACATACATCTCTCCACAATGTCCTCCCCTAAATAATTATTTGCGTACCAATGCAATGTCCCACTGGCGTAGTGTAAGGATTTCCCAAAATGAACTCCATCTTGCTCGACAACAAACAAGTCAGTCCATGGGTTGATAACGATGATACTTGAGGAAACGTCCAGCAAGTCCCGCCTACGCATCAACGTAATTGGGTGAAAAAATCCTATGTTCCAGTGCGATTGGACAGCAAGAACAACCATTACGAGAGTTGGGCGATTGTAAATAAAGGGAACCTTTAATTCCCTTTATAAACCAAACTGATATCTTATGGAAGTAGCATTAGCTCTTCTGTTGGTTAACGCGAACTTTGAATTGTTATTTTACGTTTTTAGTCATTCCTGGTATTTTAAAAAAAAGTATATCTATATATTTATTTTAATTTATTATGATGATGATTATTAGTTAACTATAGAAAATATTTGTCTTTAGTTATCTTTATCACTATAACAGTGTTATATAAAGTTCATTATCAGATAAATATGACATAAGGGAAAATGTTTTGTGAAAAAAAGAATATGAATCATATCCACAAGCATGATGTCATTCCTTGATTTATATCAACTGTAATAACAACAATTCCTGTGAAGACTGCTCTTTGCAGAGAAGCTTTACTAATAAAGGCGTTCTCTCTACATTTTCAGTTTTACACTTCACCAGCAAAGAAAAACACCGTGACATACAGAACATAGTTAATTCATTAGCAAAAAATAATTTGAATTCAGAATTTAATGAAGTTTATATTTTTCACATGTATTGCCAGAGCCAGACAGCACACAGTGCAGTCAGTACAGACTGAATAGTGTGCAGTTAAGATGAGCATATCTGCTTTCCAGTAGTGACATTGTGGCTCAAAGAAAGCAAAAAAAAAAAAAAAAAAAAATCAAATGCAGAATTATTGCTCCACTGTCCAAAATGTCACGGGTGATTGAGAACCCACTGGAAACTCTGTGAAGGGTGTCACACTTGGCAGCTGCTACATGTAAACACTGCAAAAAGGAGAGCCAGCATGTTTTACTGGAGTGAGATGACTGCATAACAGATCACAACAGAGCAGCTGTCACTGCTAAACAGAACAGACAGAATATGCAGCCTTTTTATGAATGCAGAGACATTTATACAACATAGGTGCTGGGGATGTTCTCAGTAGTTGATCCTAATCCTTTTCAGTCCTGCAGAAGTTTATGTTTGACAGTCGAACTCTCGGATGTGAGGTGAACAAAAAGGGCACCAGCAGCAGTCCGTGCCCTCAGCTCATACATGTCGTAGTCATGGGCCCACTCCACGTTTCCCCAGCGTCGAATCTGTGAAGGGGGGGGAGAAAAAGAAAGAAAGAAATACGTTAATAGGATTAAATAGAGAATATGTTAAGAGTGTTGGCCAGAAGAGCATCATAAATCAAGACATTTGCAAAAAAACAAGAAAAACTTTCACGTTTTATACATTATATACTGCCAGGGTAGGTGTCATGTAAGAGCGTCAGTAAAGCTAAAACAACAAATCTTAGAAGCTTCTCGTAATGACAAATCCGGTTCAAAACCAGTTTTGTCCAACTCCTCAGTTAAGCCAATACATAAACTGACTGAAAAAGGCAAAAATCCTCATGCAAGTAATATAAAAAAAAAGCATATGACTCAGCAATTCCCTACCTGGTATTCCTCCTCCAGTCTGGAGAGCAACACCGCCTGCTCCACGCTCAGGTGCCTGTCAATCATGCCCAGTGACAATACTATAGACTTGAGCTGGGTGATCACATATTCAAGTCCTGCACAGGAACAACAACACGCATGTAAAATTTAGTCAAATCACATATCAACCAAACCATGTGATTTAAACATCACACCATCTCCACTTCAAACAGCATTTCCCTTCCTCATCATCAGCTGTGCCATTACAGTTACCAAACAAGCAAAACATGTTAGATACAGGCAAATCCCATCTAAAACAAGGTCAAAAGAGTGAAAAAACAAAACAAAACAAAAAAAAGCATATAGGTGTGTGTTACCTGTCAGAGACCAGAAGTTGTGAGACTTGAGATGTTGCCGTAAGGTGTCTTTGGTTGCCTCTGGAATCTCAGGGCCCAAAATACTGGCTGAGGAGCCAATAGTGACGTTATATCTGCAGCGAAGTTGTGGGGAAAATAAAAATTAGTAAAGCACTTTCAACTGTTTCCAAACGAGAACGTCGATGATGTAGGAGCTCATCAAGCTCACACGCCATCACATGTCATAGGTCAGTGTAATGTGTGAGAAAGTGATGCCGTTTCTGTATCACTGGTTGGTTTTATTGCACAAACTAATGAGATTTTAAAAGTCATATCCAGGGAAAATTTGTCTCATTCTGCACCAAATGTGTGTGTTTGAGCTCAAGAGTACCATGACAACATGGTCAGTAGTAACTATGGCCACAAAAAGCATGATTAAATATCAGCATGTCATAGATGTAATTATAATGCTGACTTTATGGTGTTATAAAGGTTCCAGCCACACCTTCGAGTGGAGTCAGCCAACAGGACCAACTCCCTCCCTGATCATGACCAACAAGATCATGATCAGAACCACCTAAAAAGATACAAGTGGTGCACAACTAAGCAATATTTCAAGCTATTACATCACATGGTGTTTCATGTAGTCCTTTCTTTAATATTAAGTTAACAGCTTCGCTAAATGGTTCGAACTGAATATTGTTCAGCACATCAGGAGTGAGATTTTAGCAAAACTGTAAGCACTGTGCATGAAGGTTACACTGGAGAAATCCCAAATTGAGCATCTGAAATTTGCCAAATGGCATCCTATTAGTTCTTGTTTTCAATCATCGGGCTTGTTTTTTTTATAATTTATCATTTTAAAACATAACTGCAATGATTTTGTGGTCTGAGCATGCTCAGAAGACTACATTTTTGAAAAAAAGAAGAAGAAGGGCATTTACAGATGACAAAACTCATTTTATGAACATTACAAGCAATTAAATGCTAACAAGCACTCTGGGAGGAATAGTGATTCTTGTGAACTGTGAGCAGATGACTGTACAGACGAACAGATGGAGACGTCATCATAGCATAAGCTCATCGGCACTTTGGTGAAAAAGCTAAAAAGTTGGAAAGAATGTAAAATATGAATCACTTCTCCTTAGATTTAACTGAAATATACAACAAATACAAAGTATCAAGTGTTGAACATGAGTTTCTACTTTTAACATGTTGTAATTTTTCTAGTGGTTAACACATTTGCCTTACATGCAAAAGATCCCCGCTTCAAAACCAGAAGGAGACCCTTAACATACTCCTAGTGTCACTCCCAACACCAGACAAATGGGAGTATTGTGTCATCACAGCATCCATTTAAGATCTGTGCCAAATTAACATCTGGTGTGGTGCGCCACTGGGAGATAAGAGAGCAGACGAACGTGCCAACCTACCTCAGGATTTCTTCTCAGTTATATAGCATATTTAAAAGATTTACAGTATCTAAAGATATCACATTCTCACGCATAACTTTCTGCTTAGAAGAGAAGGAATACCCGCATATATGGCACAAGGCTGAAGAACAACATGAAATGGCTTAAAGTTCCCAGAAATCACAGCACTAAACACTCTGTAATCTGACCAAATGGATAATAGAAGCTCATTCAGCTTGTTATGAATGAAACACAGAAATCCCTAACAGCCTGGCTCCGTAGCAAGATTGTAAACTGGTTAAACTGGCCAGGCTACAGTCCAGACCTGTCATGAAACATGAAACAAATCTGGCCAGTGTTCAGGTTGGTATTCAAATAAATAAATAATTACTAGAAATTGCTGCTGACTTTTTTGCATTACTTTACTTATTTACTCCCCACAGCAAGTAATTCATTTATCTATGCAGGTGATACATAGGGATGGGTACCGGTATAATGGCACCGGTTCTGACATAAACGGTAGTAACCAGACCGAAAAGCAGCGCACATTTCGGTGCTTTATTTCGGTGCTTTTTTTCCCTGAGATGTCATACACTTTAGATTCTAGCCAATCATTTTACCTTTGCAAGCGTAGTAGGCGGGCCCAGGTACGTACGTTCTTTTAGAGCAGAGCTACAGATTAAAAATGACCAAGGCGAAGCG